TGAGTATCAGAGTGTTCCATCTCATTTTCCTTTGGGGTTGCTGTAGGTGATCTGGAAGTCTGGTTTTGAGACTTAGTTACGTGTTTTCTCATTTCGACTGGGGGGGCAGGGGGGTGCTGTTGGCGCCTGTGTGGCTCACCTCCTCTGAGCTGGGAGAGGTGGGACAGGGGCCGGGAGTGGCGTTAGGGATGGTGGCCCAGAAGCCCCCACTTCTGGGCAGGGAGTGGCGGGACAGATGGCGACCCAAAAGCCCTTTCCTCTGGGCCGCAAAAACGGTGGATTTTTAATAAGGCATAAATATAAAATGTTAAAGGAACTAGAGAAAACTTAAGGGACAGAAAAGTAGTTCTTCAGGGGTAAGAATGAGGGAGAAGCGAGGCAGAGAAGGGGTTAAAGGAAGGCAGTGGAGTCAGGTGCATCACGAGCTGGGGAGAATCTTGCTCTTTGACCTGGGAAAGCGCCAGTCCCTCTGTGGGTCTCTTTTTCCTTTGCCAAACGAACGCCTTAGCACTTACCCTGAGTCATGCAGCCGGTGGCCCCGCGAAGACGCTGCAGCTGCGCCTGCTCTCTGGGCAGCCAAGGAGCTGACAGTGCCTGGCCCAGAGTCCGCCTGGGGGGGTGGACCGAGGGCCGAGGGGCGAGGCCCTGGCCTGGGCAGACTTGGAAAAGCGCCACCCAGCGCAGGCGGAGTCTCCTTGGCAGAAGAGCTGAGTAGCACCTGGCGGCTCCTGCAGCGAGTCTAGGACAGGCGGCAGGACTGGACATGAGAGATCCCTACCCTGAACCTGGACTTGAGCCGCACACAGAGCCAGAGCCACAGCTAGAGCCTGAGTCAGCAGCTAAGGCCCTTCCTCCCTCGGCCCCTAGGCAGGCCCCCTGGCCATCCTTGTGTGCAGGCTTTGCTCTCTGACCTTCTCCACCTTACTTCCCCTCCACGTTCCTTCGCGGACGCAGACCTCCCACATCTTCCCTTGTTAGTTCTTTCCTAGCACCCGCTGGGCCCACTCCAATCTATCCCTGATTGTAGCCCACAGCGGGTGAGGTGAGCGCTGCCAGGGTCTCCAGTACTGAGAAAGCACGGTGCTTTGATCAGTGGGCCCAGGTATAGGATAAACCATAAAAAATTCTCGAGGATATGAAAAGTCTGGCCTTTGGAAACTCAAGATGAAGCTCCTGTACTTTCTTGCTGTGTGTCTTCAGTGAGTCTGTAGACTGCCCTAAGGTTTCATTTCTTCCAGAATAGAGATCACCATCCACTCTGAATGCCCCGGGAGGCTGCAGGGAGGATCGGGGAATTTACACTGACATGGTCTGCACACTGTCAAGTGTGCTGTACCTATGAGCAGTGATCTTCCTATATGCATGTGGAGGTGATATCCAGACCCCATATAGGCCCTGAGTAGGAAGAGCCTGAGCATGACCTAAAAGAAGTTTGGCAGCATTGATCTGTGATCACCCGTTCTGCCTGCTTTTCACCTCCAACACCTCACCCCATGGGTGAATGAACCCCTCTTTCCGCCACTTCCCCTGGGACTCTTCCCCTCCCAGACCCACGCCTCTTGGTTGGTTGCAAGGTTGCCTCTGTCCCAGCATGTGACAAGACCCTTAGCAAAATAGAACTTCAGGATACCCCTGCCAGTGTACTGGCCCTGCATCCCTCAGAGGGAGGGCTTTCCTGGTCAACACTGATATTGTGGGACTCTCTTGAGTAAGTTCTTTGTCCCACTCCCTGCACAGGGTGGAGACTGGTGAGTGCTCAGTGTCAGGAGTGCTGGGTTCCATTTTGCCGCTGGGTTGAGCAAGACTAATGTGAGATAGCAAAGGTAGAGGAGAGATTTTAATCTTGGCTGGAGGATAATTGTTTTGGCTAATCCAGGAACTTTATACACTGTTTAATGTTCATCTAATAAATTTTAGGCACTGTTTACATTTCATAGCAGTTGCTGTTTTAATAAAACTTACACTGTTTTCAGAGTCAGAGTTGAGAATAAACAGACCCTTCTTCCCAGGCGCTTCGCTATTTGCTGTCCCCTTGGGAAGGCTGTGGCTGGGGCCTGGCTGAGATCTGTGTGTAGGGCCTTGGCTAGGATGGCTTCTGAGGCAGATCAGCTCTGACTCCAGGGTAGAATGTGCCTGGCTTTTTTTCAGCATAACCCCAGGCAGCATTTCACATATAGGGACCCCGAGGCTCAAGGTGATGTTTTAAAGCAAACCTCTCTTATAACTCTGTCTCCAGGGGCCTTTGGTTTCTACTCAAGTTTTAGTTCAGTTCCTCAGTGACCTTTGTGAACATCTGGTTGTTCCCTCAGTATATCATTCATTCTACCTATTGAACAGCTGTTCTCTAGCAGACATAATACCAGGTGTCAGGCACATAGCAATGAATAAAACAAACGATCAATCAAAAATCCCTACCCTCATGGAACTTACAGTTACTGGACGGAGGCAGACAGTAAACATACACATATAAATACAGTATTTGGAATGTGAGCTGGAGGAATACAAAGTGGGGTGCATGGGATAGAGTATTTGGAGTTTCAGGAATTGTATTATTATAAGGGGTTATTAGGGAAGGCCTTGCTGAGGAGATAATATTTGAGCAGAGACCCAGAAGAAGTGTGGGAGTGAACCACAGAATTAGGGAACATGACAGAATTGGACCCTTCATAACCCATAGTCTTAGAGGTGAAATCAGAACGTCTGAGTTGATAAGCTTTGGGTGGCCTCTTTGACCCCTCCCATCTGTTCACCCTGGTTGTATCTATCCCTCTCCAGAGTAGCCAACAGGCTGCACTTCCTGGTCTCCAGTGTGCTCTGCATCTAGGGCAGGACTGCCCAGTACTCCTCAGCTGCAGCCCTCCCCAGCTCCATCCCAAAACCAGACATCTGCTACAGCCAGCTCTTCATTAACAATGAGTGGCGCAATGAAGTCAGTAAGCCCTTTCCCACAGTCAACCCTACCACAGGAGAGTTCACTGGACATGTGGCTGAAGGAGACCAGGCTGATGTAGACCTGGCTGTGAAAGCAGCCCGGGAGGCCTTCTGTCTGGGGTCACCATGATGGATGCCTCCAAATGAGGCTGGCTCTTGAACTAGCCGGCTGACCTGATGGAGCAGGATCATGTCTACTTGGCCTTGCTGGAGACTTTGGACATTGGGAAGCCCTTCTGAGAGTCTTAGGCCTTGGATCTGGATGAGGTTATCAAGTTGTACCGCTACTTTGCTGACTGGGCTGACTGACAAGTGGCATGGCAAGACCATCCCCGTGAATGGTGAGCATTTCTGCTTCACCCACCATGAGCCTGTGGGATAATCTCTTGGAACTTCCCCTTGGTCATGCAGGGCTGGAAGCTCGATACAGCACTCGGCACAGGCAATGCTGTGGTTATGTAGGTTGCTAAGCAGACTCCCCTTTCTGCCTTGTACTTGGCCTCCCTTGTCAAAGAGGCTGGTTTTCCCCCGGGGTGGTGGACATCATCCCAGGCTATAGTCCCACAGCAAGAGCAGCTATTGCCCGGCACATGGATGTTGATGAAGTTGCCTTCACTGGCTCCACTAAGGCTGGCCACCTGATCCAGAAAGTGGTAGGCGATTCCAACCTCAAGAGAGTCACCCTGGAGCTGGGTGGGAAGAGCCCCAGCATTGTGCTGGCCGATGCAGACATGGATCATGCTGTGGACCAGTGTCATGAAGCCCTCTCCTTCAACATGGGCCAATGCTGCTGTCCTAGTTTTGAACCTTTATTGAAGAATCTATCTATGATGAGTTTCATGGGAGAGCAGTGGAGAAAGCCAAGGAGAGGAAAGCTGGGAACCCTTTTGAGCTGGATACTCAACAAGGTCTCCAGGTGGTCAAGGAGCAATTTGAAAGAATCCTTGACTACATCCATCTTGGCCAGAAGGAGGGAGCAAAGCTTCTTTGTGGTGGGGAGCATTTTGGGAAGCACAGTTTTTTCATCAAGCTGACAGTCTTTGGAGGTGTGCAGGATGACGTGAGGATTGCTAAGGAAGAGAACTTTGGGCCCATTCAGCCTCTATTCAAGTTCAAGAAGATTAAAAAAGTGATTGAGAGGGCCAACAATGCCAGGTACGGGCTGGCTGCTGCTGTGTTCACACAGGACCTGGGCAAGGCCATGTACTTCACCCAGGCCCTCCAAGTGGGAACTGTGTGGGTGAACACCTATAACATTGTGACCTGCCACATGGCATTTGGGGGCTTTAAGGAATCTGGCAATGGGAGGGAGTTGGGGGAGAATGGGCTTCGACCCTACATTGAGGTGAAGACAGTCACCATCAAAGTTCCTCAGAAAAACTCGTGAGAACAGGCCTAGCCCCAGTCCAGCCATTTCACAACCAGCTAGACCAGTGGTTGCCCAGTGAGTTTTAGGCATGGATCCCCTTTATTGTTCCAAATACAAGGGAACCCCGACAAATAAGGCAATTAAATTAGTGCTGTTCTATTTGAAGCAGGCACGGAGGCTAGGCTCAGAGTTCTACCCACCTGCTCCGCAGCTCCTGCCCGCTTGGTGGCACTTCATTTACTTCTGTGAAATCTTAAGAGCGTCTGGAAGACCAATTAAAAACCACTGATTAGATGGACACTTTTAGTCCTTCCTGTAGATACAGGGACTTTCCAGCAGATTAACTCTGGCTTTGTGGATGGATTCAACTCAGGCATAGGATTGAAAGGCATTAAGAATTTTGAACTGAGTGGACATCAAATCTTGGTCCTAATCTTCACTGACTTAACTGGAAAATCAAGGCTACTTTTTCCTTCCAAGTATCAGTTGTTGGCTATTTTGTTTGCTTGTCTTTCATTTTGCTGCTGATTTTTCTTAATTTGAGGAAAGCGGTAGGCAAAGAATGCAATTACATAATCATGTCTTCAAAATAAACTCAAACACCCCAGTGTCTGTCAGCTGTCCTTCAGCTGTTAACCACAGACATACTATATGCTTCAACATGAGTAAACCTTGAGAACATCATGCTATGTGAAAGAAACCACACATACAAGGCCACATATTGTATATTTGCATGTATATGAAATGTCCAGACTAGGCAAATCTATACAAAGAGAAAATACATTCATGATTGACAGAGGCTGGGGAAGGAGCAAATGGGGACTAACTTTACATGGGTATGGAATTTTTTAGGGGAAGATTTTGAAAATAGTCTGAAATTGGACAGAAGCAAAGGTTGCACAACTTTGCAAATGTATTAAAAAGTGCTGAATTACACTTTAATTGTAGTATGTGAATTAATTTGATTTAAAAGTTAAACTGATACATTCTGTTTACAAATCCATTTTGTCTCAATATTTTCTTGCTGCTAAACATTTTAGAGTTTGGGGGCTAAGTAGGGACCCAGATAGTCATCTAGTCAACCCCCAGGTAGGTACAGAAGTCCCTACCATAACATTTTCTATTCTTGTTTTCATTTTCTCTTGGCTGATGACAAAGTGCAAATTTAAGAACCATGAGAAAAGCTCTGGTTTCCACTCAGAGCAAGTCCATCTCATTTCTAGGCTTCCACTAACATTTTCCCCCCAACCTCTACAAAACAGAAGCCCAACACCAGGGCCATCCTGACATACTGGGGGTTTCTAAGTCGCAAACTTCAGCATTCACTATGTTTATTGTTCATATTGCTACTTTCATTTCCCCATGTGATGAAAGTCAAGTTAAATCCAAGCTGGTCAGGCAATGTCAGAATCAGAATGCTGAACTTATCTCTTTCTCTTCCGTCTTTCTGATCCATGTTGCTTACAAATCACCGTGCTATTAAGTCCATTTGTTCTACTGACTGCACACCCCAGTCATCACTTGGATATCCTCATATCAAGATGATTTTGTTCATTATCTTAACTTGGGTTTGACCTGAAACTGTTTCTTAAGGATTTAGGGTATGTTCCGTTCCCCCATCTCTCTTCCTAGGATCATCTTCCTGTGCCACTTGTCTAAGGCTGAGGTAACCCAGACTCTCTTCTGAAGTGCACCTTCCATCTGTTTCTCTTGGAGGCTGTAAGCAGCCCTGCTGCACAGTAGTGGAAAGTCCTTATGGACAGACAGGCCTGGAACATGGAAGTAGAGGGGATGGGTGGGCATCTATGATGCTAACATTACCACCACAATGTTTCAGCCAGTCCTCTCCTTATCTGATTCTTAATACTTCTAAACCAGAGAGGAACTTTGTAGAGGGTCTCCCACTATGGGCTCCTGCATTGGGAAAAGACAGTCTTGAAGGTCTTTTATTTTGAGCCCTGAAATGTTGAGACTGAACACTAGATAAATGAGATTCATACTCAGCTCAGCCTTTGAGATCCCTCTCCATTCATTTTACTGCATGCAAACAGAGTAAAAAACTGCTGAAATTTGCTCTGAATGCAAACTCACATGGTTCAGTCCAGATATGGCTGGCAACACTGAGAGGTGGAGCCATAGATACTGCAGTTTGGGGCCATTCATCCACCTGAAAATCATTCATCATGTTCTTCCTTGGCCAAGTGCAATGCCAGGTACTTTTACACACCACTGAGGCCTCACAGCACTCTTGTAAACAAGACTGGAGTTACCCATTTTCCCCTCTCTAGATGAGGACTTGGAAGCTTAGAGGTTTAGGAAGCAGCTTATTTGGGGTCAGTTTCCCATGAGCATGCAGTTGTGACCAGAGAGAGGGACATACTGGGGAGTCTGTGAAGTCAAAAGAACCTGAAAGAACTGAAGAACCTACAGTGACACCAACCATGCCCCAGATACCCTGCTTCTTACTGGAACCAGTGGGACCACAGCATAATCTTGCTCCTTCTCTCGATCAGATCTGAGGCCATTTAGGAACTTTAATTTGGGTTGGCTCCATTCTGGGTATGAGGCTTATCTCTGGTGGTCACCCTTTTAATTAATTTTCTCAGATCATTCATAGGGTGGGGCATCCACTCTAGGCTAATTGTTGAAGGAAAGAGAAATGAAGGCAGTCTGCCCTTTGGGAGCTCACAATCTAGCAGGAGAGGTGATTAAAGAACCAGGTGAAAGTGTAATGGCAAATAGAAGTACAGAGGTAATGAGGTACTGAGAGGAAAGAGCATTTATTAAACATCTCCAATGTATCATCTCATTTAATGCTCTCAACTGCCCAAGGCAGTTACTTGACCATATTTCTCACATATTATCATTCTACACTTGATAAGCATTGAGCCCTGGAGATGCTCAGCTGGTTATTGGAGTCTCGACTTCCACAGGGGTCCTCTTTCCCTCTACTGAAGGCTGCTGTCTTTCAGGACACCTGGATCAGTCCCAGAGCAAAGCTGTATGGGAGTGGGACACTGGATCCTGTTGGACGAGAAGATGATAAGGCCAAGCGGCACGGGGAGAGAGGGCACAAAGGAGTAGAAGATGGCAATCTGTTCCCTAGGGAGAGGCAAGGTGGAGAGGTAGGCAGGGGCTGGGCTAGAAAGGGGCTGATGGACCTGCTAGGAAATCTTGCAAAGTGTGTTTCGGTTTAGATCTGGAACATCCCCCACATCCTCATGGGTATCTCCCTTCCAGCACCTCCCTTTGCTCTCTGCTTCCTCCTCATGACATGAGTAGCTTTCCTCCACTCAGGCCCTTCCATGCTGTTGCTGTGTTTGAGGCTGGTAACCATGCACTGAAACTTCTGAAACTGCAAGCCAAAATAAACCTCTCTTCCTTTAAGTTGCAGGTTTGAGGTACTGTGTCTCAGCAACAAGAAAGTGACTAAAACAGGAAGCCTCTGAGGGTCTCAAAGGAAAAAGATTAGGATCATCCTCAGTTTCTAAAGGTGGCTCTACTTCCATGTGGGGAATGGATTGAGGGAGCCAACTTGGAGCTGGACGCTGCTCCCCATGCCTGCCATGATTCTGGCCTAAGCGGGGTGTGGGAATGGTGGGAGATCCTGGAGAGCCAGGATGTGGGCATCAGGGGTGGTGACAGATTTAGCAAAAGAAAACAGTGAAAGTTGTGATACCCCATATTTCTGGCTGGGGTAGCCATGTGGTATGGGGGCAGGGGGCAGAGCAAGGACACCGAGCTTGAGGAGCAGGTTTAAGGACAAGGTGGTGAGTTTGTTTATTCAACATACATGTTGACTATGTACCAAGAATGATTCTAGGTTAAACAAAAATCCTGCACATCTTAACTGATGGAGTAGGTAGACCATAAGCAAAGTGTATGACATATAGTTATCCTTCAGTATAAATAGGGGATTGGTTCCAGGACTCCTACGGATAGTGAAACTCTCAGGTGCTCAATTCCCTTATATAAAATGATGAAGTATTTGCTTATAACCTTAAACATCCTCTCATATACTTTAAATCATCTCCAGATTGCTTATAATGCCTAATATGATGTGAATGCTATGTAAATTATTGTTACATAGTATTGTTTAGTGAATAAAGGGGGAAAATGTCTGTGCGTGTTCAGTACAGATGCCATTTTTTCCCTAGTATTTTCAATCCATTATTGATTGAATGACCTTCAGATATAGAGGCTGACTGCATTGAGTTTGCCAGTTAGTTAAGGGTATAATGGAGAAAAAGCCTGCTGGGAAGGGGAATAGGAAACACTGGGGGAGTGGGGCAGGGACCGTGATTTTCAGTCAAGAGATCAGAGATGGTCTCATTGAAGACATGGCAATAGCTGGAGCATACCTGGGGGCACAAGGGACACAGAAGGCCATGCAGCTGGGGGAGTGAGCAAGGAGCAGAAACAAAGACAGTAGCAGAACCTACAGTTAGTTTGAAGGCTGCTGTACAGAGATTGGTGCTTTACTCTGAAAGAGGGAGGAGCCACTGCGGGGTTCTGAGCAGAGTTGCAACATGATCTGCTAAGCTTTGAAAGGATTACTGGGGCTGCTGTGCTGTGAATGGGTTGTAGGGAGGGCAAGGAGAGCCTGACCTTGAGAATGCCCACAACAGTGGGGAGAACGCCACCTCAGTGAGGAGAATTCTGTAAGGGGCTTGAGGTAGAAGCAGTCTCAGGAATAGGAATGGGACCTGGGGGAATCACGGAAGTGCACTTCCCAAGGGGAAGGAAATCACATGCTTCCAAGAGATCAAATAAGAGGAGTGTCCCTTGACTGTAGCAGTCCGTGTGGAGTGGCTGGGGACAGAAGTCAGGCTGCTGTGGGTTGAGAGCACTGCACATCCCCGCAGTGGTCTGTACGCTAGTGCCAGAGTGAGGAAGGCCAACTGGGAGTTAAGTTAGGAAGCTCTGAGAGCCTCTCATATCCTCACCTTACCTTACCTCACCTCACGTCACCCGAGACTTAGAGTAACTACCCGAGGTCACAAGCTCAGTGGGGTCAGAGCATGGCCTGAATTACAGATCTCTTGGCCCCCAGGCAAACATTCTCCCAATGCGTACTAATGTAATGTTAGCTGCTGCAAGGGAACCCCTAAGTTTGAGGGGTTTAAAACAACAATGGTTTATTCCATGCTTACCTAATAGTCTAATGCAATAATCTCACTAACTGGCATTTTTCTCCTACACGGAGATTTGGGGATTCCCTTCCATCCATCTACATTAGTTCTTTATCATTTATATGTTACATGTTTCTTTGAGAAGCTAATAAAAGAGGTAGACTTTTTCACCAGACTAAAATGCACTTGTGCACCTTCATACAAAACTTTACACCCTTTCAAGGGGCTCACAGAACCCATGAATTCATCTATAGAATTCCAAGGGATCCATGGGTACAGGTCAACCCCCCCCGCCCCAGGTGTCTCGGAGACTACATGTCAGCTGCATGACAGGGAGGCAAGGACAGAAGAGGCACACTGATTTCTTACAAATTCTGGCCTCCCAGTGGAGCCCAACACCTCTATTTACATTTCATTGGCAAAACAACTCAACCCAGTGTTGTCAGTGGAAAGGAAGGCTAGACTTGTAGGTGTTGCTGGGACATCATGGCACTGTGGAGGGGTCCAGGTCTGCTAGATCTGCCAACCTTGCTCCCATATCAGACAGGAGTGTATGATGGTGAAGGGATTCTCACATCTAGCCTTGCTTATGCTGCTCCTTTCTCCTTATTTCCATCATGTCCACATTCAGTCCATTTTCTTGGGGCCCATCTCCTCCAAGACCTTTGATCTTCTCAATCCACCCCTGGCCTCTTGAGATCATAGCATCCTCTTGTCTCACTTGGTTTTATCCTCTAGCAGCTCTTGCTAGTTAGCATGCCATGAAATGGGTCTAACTTTCTTTGTCCCACTCGACTATCTCTCACAAATTTCCAGTATGTCCACTTTCTCTCCTTGCCCTCTGCCATGCCCTGCAGAAGGGACAGTCCTTGGCACAGCTGGTCAGGGCAGTGATGTTGACCTTTTGGGCTGATGAGGAAATGGAATCTGAGTCAAGGGAAGTGACCCAGTCCCATAGACTGTGACAGCACTTAACTTTGGCTCCAGGTCCTCCAGCTCCAAAGCTACTGTCCGTTACACCCCAGTGCCAACTGCACGTACTTTCAGCAGCACAGAGACAGTCCACATGTGGTACCCCAAGCAGCTCTGTGTGCCAGAGATAAGACTGTGAGCTAGGTGATGCTTGTGCACAGCAAATGCTCTGCAAATGTGTGGGGCAGGTTGACTCATGCATGGAGAACAAAGGCCTCTGCCCTCTCTCTCCGTGGCACTGACAGTGACAGGAGACACAGGTGACTCTGTGTCCCAGTACCAGGCATTTCACAGTCCTGGAGGCCATTGAGGCTGAGCTCAAAGGCAGCCCTGACCATAAAGGAGCTTGCACTCGAGAGAGGCTGAGCAGTGTGGACAAGTATCACACCTGATTCTGCTCTGGGTGATGGGCTCTCTGTTCTCAATTCATTAAACTGCAGACACCAGAGTGCTGTGGTTTCTTAATTAATTAAAATACCACATGATAACCATTCTCAGATTTAATGTTCAAGAGCCCCGGCAAAGGCTGGGAATGAAGAAATTCATTAGAGGAGACTATTCATTGCCGATTGATTCTCTTGTTCTTATTCATTTTTCCTGCATCATCCATCCCTGGGGGAGTGGGGGAGGTAATACAGGAATTAATTTCACCATAAAACCTGAAGGAAAAAAAAATCCACCTCGACTAAAAATCAGCCCTTTTTTGGTTTAAGGTAAAAGGTGGATACATGAACATTGGCTTTAGAATTACTGTGGTCATTATCCTCGGGTGTACATTCCACAACCTGTGGTACCAAACCCCATATACATTATGTTTTTCCCTGTACACACATATGAAAAAGTCTAATTTATAAATCAACCACAGTAAGAACAACAATAACAAATAATAAAAATGATTATAATATATTGTGATAAAAGTTATATGAAGGTTCTCTCTCAAAATTGTTTATTGGGCAGCCATGTAGCCCAGCTTCAAGAAGCCTTTGGATGGGGCCGGGGATTTAGCCCAGTGGTTCCGTCGCCTGCTTTGCAAGCACAAGGACCCAAGTTCGATCCCTGGTACCAAAAAAAAAAAAAGAAAAAAAAAAAGAAGCCTTTGGCACAGTGGCCTGCTGGCATCCCAAGTATGCCCTCCCCACCTGGCATCTTGTACCTTTCTGCTACCTGCTATCAATGTGTGCAGTGGAGATGACAGAGCACGCATCAGTGAGTGAATAAAATATTTATAAAATACTTACACAGTGGGACATGCAGTCAGGGGACTCAGAAGGATCAGGCTGGCAGTAAAGTGATTAGGCTTAATTAAAAATTGCAAGAAAGCCAGCTACTCCAGAGGCTGAGGCCGAAAGATTGCAAGTTCGAGGCCAGCCAAGGTAACTTAGTGAGATTCTGTCTCAAAGTAAAAATAAAAAGGGTTAAGGATGTAGCTCAATGGTAGGGCTCCTACCTAACATATGGAAGGCCTGGGTTCAATCCCTAGTACCATAGAAAGATGGGGCAGGGACCAGGTGGAGAGGTAAAGAGGGTTTAACTAAAGTCATCGATGTCAGCAGAGAAAGGGCAGAATGCATGAGGGATGACCGCGAAGCTTGAGTGGGAACTGAACCACCTACAGCAGTATTCCCAAGACAAAGAGACCACAAAGACCATCCTTAAAAATATTTATTTTTAGGGTGCAGGGATTGTGACACCACAGCATCTATGAAAATAGGGTAGAAAAAAAACACAAGCTTGGGGGTGGTGGTGTGTGAATCGTGCTTCCAAATGAGACCTGCAGTTCAGCACATGTTCTTGGTCTTTAAAGAGGACTTGGAGTTCTCAATTCAAAAAACCATTAGTTTGAACAGTCATGTTAATGCACCTTATTGCCACTGGTGATGAGCAAGATTTGATGATTCAACTGATTTCACAGAATGTGCTTCTTATCAGATGTGGTTCTATTACCTTCTCCAGAGTCACGGTATGCCCATTTCTTCTGACATAATTGAAGTGTCTGACCAAGTCATCTCTAAGCCATTCAACTTACAGTGGAACTAAAGGCAGACTCTCAGATGTGGAAATAATCATAACAGTGGGAGATGAAAAGGGCAGGAGGTGCTGAGGGAGGTGGGGATGTGAACAAGTTTCCCGCCCCCGGTAGCAAGAGCAGCCCCACCCACCAGTAGCCAAGGATAGCTTCTGATTTGATCAATTTCAATTCTCATTTTATTCAAAGAAGGGATCCTAATGTTTTAAAGTTTGAAAATCATTCATCTAGTTTCACTCCCTTCCTATTCGGATGTGGGTGTAGAAGCCCAGGGAGTGAAGGCCACCTGCCTATGGTCACACAGCAAGCCAGGATGAACTGCATGGATCTCATGTCTCCAGATTCCCAGGTTGGTCTCATTCTGTTGTGGAGTATATCAGGGTGCTACCATCCCAATATTTTGGACAACAAATGGCCACACTTAGAGATAAGGAAGTTCAATTCTAATGAGTACTCAAGAACATAATGCCCAACTTGAGAGGCATACGAGTTCTTTAAAAGTCAAACTGGGTCAAGGTGTGGTGGTGCACACTTGTAGTCCCAGCTACTCCAGGGGCTGAGACAGGAGGATTATAAGTTCAAGGCCAGCCTGGGCAACTTAGCAAGACCCTGTTTCAAAATAAAATATAAAAAGTGCTAGCAATGTAGCTCATTGGCAGAACACCCCTGGGTTCAATCACCAGTACCTCAAAAAAATTGAGTTGGGGGTATAGTTCAGTGGTGAAGCACTTGTGTAAGGTTCTGGGTTCCATCCTCAGCACCACAAACGAAACAAAACAACAACAAAAAAAGAAAAACCACAAAAAACTTGAGCCTCACCTTGGTGAGAACCCTGAACTGGTGGTGGCACTGTCCTTCCCTGGTTTTAAGGTCATCGTGGAAAGAACCACCATAGAGTGGAAAGTAGCCAGGGTCTCTGCTCAGAGGCCTCCAAATTTGGACAAGGAGGTCCGTCCTGCCCCCACCCAGAGTCTAGTTTCTTCATCTATAACAGGAAGAGGCAGGGCACTAATTTCTGTGTTGCCTGCTCTCCTGGGCCTGGGCTCATTAGTGGGACAGTGTCTACTTTAAGGCCTAATGTGAAGAAATTCTAATCACCTGGAGATCCACCAGGTAGTAAATATTCTCCTTAAAAAGGGAGAAAGCCTTATTCTTGGATGAGGTCAAGATGTCTATTAAATAGAACGCATTGTACTATGCTGTGACTCAATGGCTCAGAGGTAACACCCAGCATCCTCCACCCCCTTTCACACTGTGATGTCCTGAAGCCAGATCTCACCGCCCATCTGCGTAGAGTGCTGGGAAAAAGTAGATGGCGTGGTCCCCAAACACTCACCCAAGGGGCTCCTGAGCCCAGTGAACTGTCCCATCTAGGACTAAATCTTAAATTGGGGAAAAGGCGGGAAGAGAAAAGCCACACCAGCTGTCCACACCCTGGTCTGAGGTGATAATTCGTTTTGGGGGGAATATCATTTTAAGAAGAATGCTAAGACCACACTTCCTGTATTTTTGTTTAGGGCTATCTTACTCTAGGATGGCAGGGCTAGGAGGGATACTGGTGACCTCAGTTCAAATGCCACAATCACAGGTGAAGGATCAAGGCCCAGAGAGGGGAAGAGATCTGTAAGGTCACACAGCAAGTGAAAAACAGGCTGAGGAGAATTGGGACCTTCCTCCCTCCTTCTACAATACACACTAAATCACAGAGCACCCACTAATCAGTCATAGACACATGAGGTGTGAGTCACAGTCGACACATGCCTTGTTTTGAGCCCTTTAGAATTACAAACATACTATTATATGATCTCCTTGGGAGGGAGTAGTTAAAAAAGAATTGGCATGGAACAATCATTCCAAAAGTATAAAAAAGCTACATGCACGTCTATTTCCCCCATGTTTGCCCTGCTAAAAACTACATCTGCATATGAATTTAGTTCACATCCAATTTTGAAAAACATACAAAAGAGATCATCTACAAACACAGTTTTTCCAAGTCTTCACAAAGCAGAAAGATCCAGTACTTGACTTTTCTGTTATCCTGTGATCAATGTCTCTAAGACCCTGGGAAGAAAAGGGAGAAAATTAGAGAAAAGGAACCACTGTGTGTTAAATGGGAGGTGCAGGAAATGATCCCTACATTCAAATATTTCTTTGCAAGAAATGGTGCCAGGGAGGATTGGAGGGGTCCTGCAGGGGCCCAAGAAGAACATGTAAGACCAGTAGATGGAGATTTCAGAGGCACACGCTACAGTTCAATATGAGGAAGAACTCTTCAACTACTGGAAAATGTCAAGGTGGTTGCCTGGTGGTAGTGAGCTCTGTATTCCTGGAGGCATGCAAGCAGAAGCTGGCCGATATTGCATGTTTTAGAGGAAACTCAACACTTGAATATATAATAATACATGAAAGATATGTTACATAAAATAGTACATACAATAACATCTGCATAAAACAAAAAAGTCAAGTATCAGGAAGACAACTTTAAAACCTGATTTCCTAACTCTTTGCTGAATTCTATTTTATACTTTTATACTTTCACATTTTCCCCCATTTCTAGGACGTCTAAATACCCGTAGACACTTGCCTTTCAACCTCAAAGCCACTTCCTCATTTGCCCTCATTTTCCCTGGTTCTAAGAGGAGCTTCTCCTGCCTGAAACCCACACACCTCCCTTATTCCCCTAATGCAGTCCTTGTATTCTAATGATGTCCACTTTTGTTTTTCTTTGTATCCCCTACAGACCTGAAGAGAAGGCATGCAACAATAGCGGTCACAAGGTTATATTTTATTAGAGCTATAGCAAAATCCTTCTTCTTTTAAGAAATTCCTGTTTGTAATTTTTCCTGCTCTTCATAGAACCTGTGGTCAGCCTTGGGGATGGTGCCCGGTCATGCCTGCTGTATGAGCATCCTGTATCCTGCCCTTTGTCTCCAGGGAGAGGAGCACACACTGCCTGGATCTGTCCATCCCTGTGTGGCCTGTGATTTGCATTGGCCGATGAACTGCAGGCAGATGCGACAGTGGTGCACCTTACATTTGAGTCGGACTTTAAATGAGATTGCGTAGTAGTCTCAGCCTCTTACTCATCCCTTCTGCCACGAGAATGGATGTATTCCACATTGGGGCTGCTCCTCCAGCTGGGTCTCAACTGAGAAGGGATGTGGAGCAGAGCCACAGCCAGCCCATTGCAGTGACACGGAACTCAAGCAAGAGATAAATGTTTGTGGCTGTGAACCAGCAAAGTTTGGGGGTTGCTACACAGCAAAACCTAGCTGAGAAAGTGATTCATTCCCCAAGTTCACAGTCACCTGTAGACAGGGCACAGATGCAACCCCAGTGTCACCTGTCTGACTAGGAGGACTAAGGGCTGCTTTGGTCTCTGCACTCTGCCCCCTCCTCCCCGAGATGTGTTGCTAAGCAGCATGCTGGGCAGTGAACAGCAAGGTGGGGCCTGGAGATGGCAGTGCCGTCCATAAGGAAGTGTCCTGGGCAGGGACACACAAAGCACAGAGGTCTTCTCTGCAGGAAGGTTTCCACGTGGATGCTGTCACGGTGACACTGTCTGCCACCTCTCTCGGGTCCGGAGGAAGTATTCTTCCAGCCTCAGAAACAGGAAAACACTACCAGCTTTTTTATCTTATGGACGCCCATGTTCCCAGCTCTTGGCTACGCAAGCTGGGGAGGTCGGAGAAACATCCAGAGCACACCAGTGGCTCCACCTGCTCACCTTCAAGGGCCCAGCTCTCCCCTGCTTTCCCTCTGGTTTCCTCCACTTACCCACTTCTCTTCTTTGTTACTGCACATCTAGCTGGCTACTTCAAAACTCTTGGGACACAGGGGTAGAAATAATGAAATGGCTTAAAGCATATACCTTTGTCCATCACAGGCGGTCAGCTGGAGCTAGGGAGCGGGGACTTTTATATCTGCTCAGATCTAGGACCATCACTGTGCCGTGGGATAGGGCTTCCCCAACCACGTTGGCCGCGTGACACTGGTACACGCCCTCATCTTCCTTTCTCAGGGGACTGATCTAGGCACACAGCAGGCACATTTACAGTTACATACAGCATAAAAAAGGACCTTACTATTTGGTTCTTAACGATACATTCGATCACTTGATCCTTTTCAGAATAAGAACAACTCCTATTTGTCTTCTTGCCTTGACTGCCAAGAAGAACATAGTGAAACACCCTTCTTGGGGACCCTCTTGAAGGGCATGTTCCTTATTGTGGCTTTTACTTTAACAATTTCTCCGCATTCCTGCCTTTCACTCTAGCTGTCTGGTCCTTTTATTGAAGAGGAAATGGATAGATTATGAGGAAAATACTGCACATTAAAAGAACAAAACTCTACTGGCCAAAGAAGGACCCATAAAGCATTCCCTATGGAGGCAGCCTTTATAAAATACCACCAAGATCACTCCTTCCCATGTTTTCTTGTGAAAGTGAGGGAATGTGCTTGATTTGAAAAGGCCATGGGCCCAAATGGACTTGCATTCCAAGTCCTTCAGCTTGGTGGAGAATCATCACCAAAGCTCCAAGCTGTGGGGAAACTGAGGAAGGCACCCTTGGAGAGCATCTCAATTCTGTCACTCTTCTAAACACTTGGCTTTCCTTTCCTTTTTTTTTTTTAAGCAAAAATGCTATGACTGGCATAACAGAGCCGTGGTGGGGATCCTAACTGTGCCTTTTCCCTCTTCATCAGCTATGTGGTATTAGGTGGATTACTGTCTTATGGATGCTGTAACAAAACATTTCAAACTTAGTGGCTTAAAAGGCAAATTTATCATTTATAGTTCTGAAAGTGAGAAGCCTAAATGGGCCTCAAGAGATTAAAATCAAGGTACAGAAGCATTCCTACAGCTTTAGGGTATAATCTGTTCTCTGGCCTGATCCAGTTTCTACAGGACACCAGTTGTGCTAGTGACAATACTGATTGTCAGCCAGGCATGGTAGCACATGCCTGTAACACTAGCACTTTGGGAGGCTGAGGGAAGAGGGCCCTAAGTTCGAGTCCTGCCCGGGCAGTTTAGTGAGACCCTGGCTCAAAATTTAAAATAAATATATAAAGGACTGGAGATGTAGCTCAGTGTTAAAATACTGAGTTCAATTCCAGTATCAAAAAAAAAAAAAAAAAAGATTGTCAACTTGGCTCCATTAAGAGAGGTGATTGGATAGTGAGGGCACTAACCTCATCAATGGGATGTGACCCTGGGGACTCTATGTGGTCCTTGGCCCCTTCCACACCGATGTTCATTCCCTGTGCTCTGCTTGCTGACCACCATATCCTTCTGCCCTGCCCTTCCTCCATGTTTTTGTACTGGAGCCAATGGATTATGGACTGAAAACTCGAAAACTATGAGCCCAAATAATCTTCTCTTCCCATAAACTGGAGGTGTTAGATGTTTTGTCCAGCAATGGAAAGCTAACCAATATGCCAGTGCTCCTTGGCTTGTGGCCCCTTCCTCCAGCTTCAGTACCAGCAAGGTGGGTGGAGGTCTTTTCACATCACCCCACCTGACTCTTCTGTCTCCCTCTTCCTCATTTACACTCACCCTTAAACGGGGCCCACCTGGGTAATCCGGGCTACTCTCTCTACCTTAAAGTCAGCTCTTTAGCAACCTTAATCTCCTTTGCCATGTAACAAAACCCACTGACAGGTTCTAAGCAGTGGGACACAGACGTCTTGTGAGGGCAACTGTAGCAGATCCCTTGTGTTCTCAAGGGCTACATAGCCTGCCAGCCACTGCAAGGCCTGTGAGATGAACAGGAAGAGCTTTGAAAACTGTCACATGTCACAGAAAGACAAAGGACATTCATAAAGGTCAGTCAGATTATGAGATAACCTGAAAAACTCACCAAGATCCAGGCTGTGGCCTCGTGGTCAGAAGGGCCCCCTCTCACCTGAACAGCTATATTGATGTGGTCCCCAGGTAACTCCTCCAGTACCTCAATGCCCTCAGGAGAGTGTGTGACCTATGGCAGACAGAGAAACGATGAGCCACTTAGAACAAGTCTTTCCAACCCCGACACCTGCATCTTCCCAGTGACTCAAAGGCTGAAACCCTAGCACCTCTCCTTCATATTCAAATAACATCAAATCCCTTTGAAACATAAATGTGTGTACAAACAGCACCCCCTGCTGGATAGCACAGATGCTAACATCGCCACTATTTGACAGAAGCAGTTCAGGTTCATGGCCCTTGTCAGGGCTGTTGGGCCATGGGGACAACAAATGTCACGACTGATCTTCGGGAAGATTTGCATTTGGGACAGGACTGAGTTTTTTGCTCTCAGCTGAGTCAGTCTACAACTCAGCTCCACAGTGAAGCAGGTTCTCAGGGCCCAGCAGCTGAGGCAGGCTAGTGGCCAAGGCAGCAGATGGCATAGGACAGACTGTACCTGTCCCTGTGGGATAAAAGTTTTGAGACAGAGTGGTATATAAGGCCTTTTTTTGTAATCTTCTGGCCCACAGATAAAGAGATACACACAAACACATTTAAAGGAAAAATATTTACCACCCGCATCTGTTTCTGTCTCTCTCTGCCTCATCCTAGTGTGTCGGCATGTGCATCCCCCATCCCTAACACACACAAGAGCTCTTGGAGAGAAATACCTTCCTCCACGTGATGACCGCAGTGGGCACTGCCCTCACCTCACAGGACAGGTAAACCTGCGCTCCAGTGACATTGTGAACACTCCGGGGTGGCAAGACGACCACAGGAGCTGGGAGAAGAACACGAGAGAACACAGGCTTTACGCTGGCAGGTCCCAAGCTGCCTGCCTCCAACACCAAGACCCCTGTTCTGAGGGGCGCAGTGGCTCCTTGATGGAGGGGACATATTCCCATACAAGGGATCACAGAGGGAGCTCTCCTCACACCTGAAAGGGAGCCTGCTGGTTTCCTGACCCACTGCCACTGTTTTACCACCAGGAAAATGGGTCCTGAGAAGCAAGGTGACTTACCAAGGTCAGCTGCAGAGCTCTGGTCTCACACACTCCCTCTCTGGGCCCCTCCTGGACCCCTATAGGGCTGGTATCAGGTTACCAACAGCAGAGACTTCAAACACAGGTTTCTCTGCTTCTGCGTGCTGAGTGTTTCAAACACCACATAGACTGCTGCCTGCACCCTGCAGTGGAGCCCCTCGGTCCATTCTGGACACAGCAGTCTGCATATGCAGACACCAAGCTGCACCCAGCTCCATCCCCAAGTGAAAGGAAGGAGAGGGGGCTGAGCCTCTGTGACCCTGGAATGGGGCAAATGCAGCTCTGGGTTACCAGGCATTGCTTGGAGCAGAGAGGGGAGCATGGGCTCTCTGGAGGGGAACTGAGAGCCTGTGGGCATGAGTCAGAAACTCAGAGCAAGGGTGTGGTGGCAGGCACCTGTTATCCCAGTACTCTGGGAGGCTGCAGCAGCACAGCAGGTTCGAAACCAGCCTGGGCAGCTCAGTGATTTAATGAGACCCTGTCTCAAAATTAAAAAATAAAAAGGCCTGGAGATATAGCTCAATGCGAAGGCCTTGAGTTCAACCTGCTAGCACTGTAACAAAATGAAAACAAACCCAAAAACTCATATTCCATACTCCAATTCCTTCCCTCCTGGCATCTGCTCTATCTTCTCTGCTCACACCCAGCTGTGAGAGTCAAGTCCAACCTCTTTGGTCTTCAGGCCCCCATCAGGCTTTCCTTCTTCACAGGATACCCTGCCCAGCTCCACCAGACCTCTCAGCCATCCTGCAGGCCTAGCTAGGTAAACACTACTGGGACCAGGGGGCCTGCACATCTTGGACCTGCTGAGTCACGGCCAGCGTTATGGTCCAGGTGTATCTACCTGATCTCACCTGTGGTGGATGGGAAGTTCAGCCACCCTGGCATCCAAAGTGCAAGGTGGAGGCCTGGCCATGGAAGTGCTCACAGCTCAGGCCTCCTCATCTGTAAGCTGGGGATCAAACACTTCCTCCCTAAGGCTGTGCAGGGGGCGCAACCATAGACAGTGAGAAAACAATGGTTTCAGTACCTGATGTGCAAGTGGGGGCTGGGGTAGGGAACAGGCCTAGCAAACAGACAGGCAAATAGAAGAATAAATGTGTTCACTCAGGGCCATTGTAGTACAGGCTCAAGGACTCCTGGGGCTCTGCCTGGGCAACTCGGGGACAGACTTGCTGCTCTTCCCAAACCTGTCCTGAGAGGGGAAGGGCCCTCACCCCCGGACCCCAAGGCTGCAGTAAAAAATGGAGACCAAAGGGAGGGAGATGGGGTGAGAGAGTGTGGGGGTGAGGGACAGGGTTGACTCACAGCCTAAAGCACAGGAGGGGAAGGATGCAGAAAGAGTAGTCTGGCCCCTACAGATAGACTGGGAAGCAGATCTGGTCAGGCCACGGTATATATATCTCACACCCAGGGAAATTATCTTAAGCCAGAGTCTTAAACTGGAGATAGCATCCCAACTCCCCAGGATCCTGTGCCAGTCTGTGACACACCTATTCGGACTTGACTTTCATACCTCTAGCGATGGAGAGCTCACTACTTACAGAGCCAGGCCCTTCCGTCTTTGAAGGATTCTGCTGCTAAGAAAGCTTATCCACATCTGGAGCTAAAAGCTATCTCTCTAAGTGCCACCTGCTGATCCCAGGGCTGCCCTCTGGAGCCCGAATCTCTGTGGGTGCCTTGATTCTCCACAGAGGTGAACACAAAGACAACCCACTATCTCAGGCTGCTTCTTCCAACACCTGCTCAGCCCACTGCTGCAGCTGTGCCCTCTGGACTGCCCTGCAAAGGGCCCTGCTAGCTCATATCCAAGAGTACAGCCAAAGCCCCCAAAGAACCAAGTTCTGAAACGTCTAACATTGCCCGCTGCCACAAAGAACCTACACCCTGGCTCTGGCAGCGGCCCCATCTGCGATGACAAAGAGAGGCTAATTTATTCACATTCCCCTCCAGCGCCTCCCAGCCATGCAGGCACTGTGATGTTAGCCTCCATATCAGCCCAAACCAGTCCTCCAATGGCTCACTGTGGGGACCATCAGAACCCCCTTCTTCCAGAGCCCCCGAGGGACTCGAAAGGGACCTTCCATCACTAGGTTTCACTTTCATTCATGTAAAGTCATAAATTTTAAATGAGATTTCATCACTCCCTTTCAGACCTAAATGAATAAACTAGTAAATCACATTTCCTCTCCCTCATCCTCTCTTTCAATACCTGCAATTAAGGAGGAGTGTCTAGGAAATACTGTCTTTGCCACTGATTTGGAAATGGCATGTCTTTTACAAAAGAGACTCCTGCTTTCAATGTTAAAGGGATGCTTCACAAATTTATTTGTAAATTTGCACACAGTGTTGCTCATACTTTCTGGTGGGCAGTTCTAAGTTCTGACAAATGCATACAGTCATGTAACTACCACCATAACCCAGAGAGAATAGCTATCTCAAGAAATGTCCTCAGGCTGCACTTTGTCATAATCACCTGCTTCTCACTTTAACACATATGATTTTAAATTTAAACATTTTTATCTGAAACAGTTCTTCATAGTCAATAGTATTCATAATAGTAATGGTGACAATGTCATGGGCTAACGCAGTGCCTCCTATGTGCTAAGCCCTCTTCTGCCGACAAGTTTGGACAAACACCTGTCTTTCCAGCAATCTTACCAGCTAGCTGTCTTATGAGGGACCCATGCAGGGTTGGCAGGCCTTGATTTCTGGGTCGAGACCATGAGCCCTGTATTTGTTTCCAGAACCCCAGCTCTCTTACCCTGGCCCTAATATTATAAGCAACTGAATTAGGCAGAAATATTACAGGCAGTCAGATAGGGCTAAGTCCTCAAGAAAGTCAGGACAAAGGTGAAACACACCACAACTGCAGCCGGAGACACACCTGTTGGAGGCCAGGCCTCAAGATAAAGACAAGATGACCAGATCTGTATAGTTCCTCAAAGGACAAACACTGGGCCTAATGAAGTATAGATAGACATCAGCCACCCCAGTGGGTGGCCAGAGACCTCTGGACCCACCATCTCCTAGAAGTCTTTGTTCTTTCCATCCACGCTTATTACCCAGTTGAACCACCATTACCTAAGTGACTATACTTATAAGTGACTCATGTTGTATCCACGTGGGTTTTACTCCATAAAACTACCCTGTGGAGTGGGGTTCCCGGGCTACTCACTTGGGTCCCTTCCTGCCTCTTAGGAGCTATCCTATCAACAAATATCTTCCTACTCTTAACCTCCATTGTTCCTAGAATTCATTCTTCAATTTTTAGAGAACACGAACTCAGTGTATCAGACATTTAACAGGTTGGGAGATACACTGTTTCGTATTTCCTCTCCGGTATTATTTATTTCCTGTATCACTAACACCATCTTGCTTTTCCCCAGAATAGCCTTCCTTGGGTACTACCCCTTCCATTCTCACACCAGCCTGTGTGTGCTTTAACCTCATTTTAGAGATGAGGACAGCAAGGCTCAACAAGGGAAGGGTCTAGAGGAGCGGAAACTCAAATCCAGGTCCCTGGTTCTACGAACTTCCACTCAATTTTTTAAAGTGAAACATTTGCTGTCTGTTTGGACTCCATCCCAGAATAAGAGGTTAGTTCTTAGGGATTGAGTCAGGGGCCCGCAAGACAACTCCCAGGTTCAAACACTTGCTGGAGGACTCACAGGACTCAGCATATGCTAATACTCAGGCTACAGTTTATGCCAGCACAAGACACAAAGCAAACTCAGCCAAGGGAAAAGTCATGTGGGGGACCAGGCAAAGCTTCATGAACCTCTCTCCTAGTAGTCACACACGGCACAGCCATAAACAAGAGACAGCACGTGTGAAATGCTGTCTACCTGGAGGCTCATGAGAGCTCAATGCCCAGGGTGTTAACAGGGGCCTGGTCACATAGGTACCCACTACATACCACAGTTCAGGCTCCGGGGAGATAAGCAGGTGTTCGGCAGTGCTATTTGGTTAGTGTACTCTAAAGTTCCATGTGTTCCAAGATTAATCCTCCGGGTGGTGCCACTGGGAGATGGTAGAACCTGTAGGAGCCAGGGACTAGTGGAAGACCCTTAGGTCACGAAGGGTGTCCTAACCACTTCCTCCTTGTCTGCAGATAAAGACAATGGCCACTGCCAGACATCCACCGGGGTGATAATGGCTGTGCCTGTGTTAACTGTGTGGATCTGTACAGAGGAAAGGGATCGATGTTATTATGATAGTGTGTGGTGATCTGTCTCCCTAACCTGCCAATTAAATGGGTCCTTAATAGTTGGAATGGCGGATTGTGGAACTCTGGTGTTTCCTCTCCTCTCTCCTCTCTTCCCCTCCCTTCCTTCCCTTCCCTTCTCTTCCTCTCCCCTCTCTCCTGCTTCCTGGGCCATAAGGTGAGCAATTTGTTCCACCACTCACTCCTGGCTTGTTGTGCTGCCCTAGCCAGAAGCTCAAAGGAAAACAGGGCTGCTGATCTTGGACTGGAACCTCTACATCTGTGAGCCGAATTAAAACTTTTCTCTTTGTGAGTTGATCCTGAGGTATTCTGATATAATAACAAAAAGGTGATGAACATAGACACAAGCTACACCATACAGTTCAGGCACAGTGAAGTCATTCACATCAGTTCTCAGGAACCGTGACGCCCTCCTGAACCCTGAGTTTCCAGCCTTGCCAGCGGCTGTTTCTGAAGGCAGAGCCTCAGGCTGGCTATGTTAGCTCTTTTCTGTACAGGGAGGAAAGCACTCACACATCAACCCAGGGAACAGCTCCTGTGAAGATACTCCATGAGCGGGCAATGTGTCTCTGACACTATCAGGACATTCTTTATCCCCAAGTATGCTACTGGGGTGTTCAATGACAACTACAGGCAGGAAGGACAGCATAGTGGGCTAGAGCACAGGAACTTCGCAGCTAGTCCTGCCTGTGCCACACCCCAGTACTGTAACCTGGCTCGATTTCTTCTTTAACATAGGCACAGGAGCCCATCCTTCCCCTGCCCACTCCCCCAAGGCTGTTGTGAGGAGCAGCTGCAAGATCCTTCCAATCTGTGAGTCGCCTATGGAGGGACTCAAGGATGCAGCAGCCCAGGCCGTCCCAGGGGCGGACTCTTCCACCACGCCTTGCCTGCTGTCACCTTCTCCTGGCTGCTGGTCAGTGTCCATCAGAGGAACCTGCCTAGAGGTGCCCGAAACCATGGCCCACAGCCCTCACCCCACCAGCCTGGCACACAGCTTCTCACCTTACTATTACCAGAGTCATCACAATCCTGAAAGAACCAGAGCTTACCTTTCCACCTGCCTTTGACAAAAGCCTGTGGCCCTGGAGGGAAGGTGGCTCCTGGCCAGCTCTGCCTTTAAGTGTGCCAGTTTCCTCTCTCTCGTCCAAGCGCTGACTGGCACGTAACACAGAACAGTCCCTAGGTGTGTGCAGTCACAGGAGGCAAAACCACAGGATGGGCAAAGCAGTACTGAGGGAGACTTAAATGCCTGAGCTCCAGATGCCAGCCACTCAGCATGGGCAATTGCTAACCACTTCCTCCTCCTTACCTGTAGATAAAGAGAATGCCCACATCCTCCGGGGTGAAGGGAGATAAGTTTTGTGCCTGTGTTAACTGTGAGGATCTGTACAGATGAAAGGGACTGATATAATTATGATAGTGTGTGGTGATGTCTCCCTACCCTGCCAATTAAATGGGTTCTTAATAGCTGGAATGAAAGACCTCTGTAAATGCCTCTGAGATTTCTTTAAAGTAAATGGTGCCAGGCAAAGAAAGAATATCAAAAGTCATCCCACAGGACCCCATCTGAAGCGCACAACCAGAGTTCAATAATCAACGTACTGAGCAGCCCTGATAATTTATGCTAATAGTCACAATACCATGTGGAATGAGAAACAGCTTAATCCTGCTCCCTGCAGCCTGTGCTTCAAATACCCTCCCCTCGGCATGAAAGGCTTTTGAGCACAAGGCTCCTTCTTTGTCCCTTTGACAAAGTGGCATTTGCTGCCTCTTCTGGTTACCTGGTAACACACGCCTCTGGTTTCTAAGTGGAGCTGAAATTTCAACCAAGGTGAATTTTCTAAGACTCAGGGTGTTGAGAGCTCACTGGAGCTGCTGGGGCTCAATATCCTGCAAAAAGCCAAACCCAGGCTGGGGTTCCGACTGGGACTAGCTAGGTGGCTCAAGGGAATTCCCTTTCTTGTGTTTCTATTTTCCTTTCCATTAAATGGGAATGGGACTTCCCTGAGGGTAGTTGTAAAAACCAAAGAAGAAGGGGGCAAAAGAACATCCAACAGCAAGAATTATTCACATATAGGTCTTCAGTCAGTGTATGTGGGTCACAGGATCACTGCCACTACCAGGCAGCTGGGGTGTGTCAGAGGACAGAAGGAACATGCAGTATTTAAGTCCAAGTCTAAAAGCCTTTAGCACTGTCCCTCAGGGGCATAGGGGCATATATAAAAATGCTTCTCCCCACTAGACAAACCTCATCGCTACCTGTGGAGGTCTTCTTCCCTTAACATCTAGGTGCTAGGGCACGGAGAAGCTGGGCATGAGCTGAGGAGGGATGATTTTATCACCAATATCCAGGCAGAACAGCCCTGCTCTGTCTGTTTTCCTTCAACCGGGGTCCCCAGGGGCATTGTTAAGCTGTGCTCCTGCTGCGTCTTCTGAATTAAAGATTGCTTTAGGGTAGCAGGGAATGAGGTGCCAAGTGGCTAGGAAACATCTCCCTGTCCACACCGTCATGCTTTACCAGGACCCAGGCACAGGGGTCACACAAGTACATCAAGACAGAAGGTGTCAGCGAAATAGTGCCAGTTCTGAAGTGGGTGACACAAATCCTGGTGGGAAGGACAGCTGAGCTCAGGCGCTCTGACACCTGGCACTAATGAGGTCATGAAAAGCGGGCCTTGAGTATCGTTGGGCCTCAGAGCCCATAGATCAGAGTCGAAGGGATGTCACATTTACTTGTCATTTGGTAATTTTCAGTGAATTAGGGGTATGGGGTTTCCATCTGCCATCTGTCCTTACTCTGGTAACCATGGCAACCGCCATCTGCCTGACTTAATACTATCAAGTCCTGTCCCGAAAGAGCACTGACAGGGTGTTGGGACCTGGGAGCTAGCCAATCTTCAATGGACATCCTGGACGAGTCCCCTGTCCTTGCTGGGGCTCAGTCTCCTCTTTCATAAAAGCAGATTTGGTCCACACATCTTTGTAATGTCTTTCTCATAGAAACAGAATACCACTCTAGGGAGAAATCATGTGAGACCATCAGCACCATGTAGATTCTGGGACCTGGTCAGCATTTCTTAACGACTCCTGCATGTGGAGTTAGTGTTACCTGTCTGCAGACAAAGGGAAGTGCCTGTGAATTAAATGCTGATGAAAGCAGATTGTAGAATCGAGTGATAGGAACTACAAAGAAAAAGACAGGACTGTTTAAGCACCATAGGGCAGAAACAAACATTCAAAGTAGAAAGGACCTCAACAATGGCTCCAAAGGGGCTAACACAGCCAGGTGGGGAAAAAGAACAGCCCAGGGTCACTCAAGAAGCCCAGAAGCAGCCCACAAGCACTCTGAGCCAGCTCTGTCCTTTACTGGGAGCCCCAACTAGGAAAAGCCTTGGTGACTTTCCTGTGAACACGGCTGCTTCAGCTCCTCAATGGACCACATATCATCTTTGTTTCTTGGGACAAGAGACTTCCTGTCTCATCTCCAACTGGATCTCCTGGACTTGAGTACACTGGACCTGGAATAATGGGGTAGGGTAGGGTATGTGGGGAATAATACAACACTGGATATTTCTTAAGGCCTGGAACCCACTCCCACCTCTACATCCAGCTTTCTTCTTGAAGGTGAGTCATTACACTGAAGTAGGTGTTTAGTCAGGACTTGATCTCCAGGCCCAGGACAGAAGTCCTCCCCTAAAGCCTGAAGCCCAAGGCACAAAGCTTGCCAGCCACAAGCTCACTCACCCTGGACTCCCATAGCCCGCTCTAGGCAGAGTAGACAGGTTGTTCTCCAAAACCTAAAGGGAAGGCCATGTCCACACTTTGGCCAACAGGCTAGCAAAGCAGGGTGCTCTGCCAGACATCCCTTATACTAATGTTTTTAAAAATTACACAGAAAAGATGGGCAACCGTGGCACCCAGGGATAGATGTACTGTAATGCTGATGAAGTTCAAGTTTCCAAGTCCTTAGCAATTCATAATTTTTGATTCCTTTCCTTAAAGCAGCACCATTCAAATTATATACACCTTATCCTCACAAAACCGGAGTCTGCCTCTAATGGCACCCTAATCTTTTTAGAGCTTAAGTCTCCAAAGGTCTCACCTGTCCTAGGTGGGAGCTCCCTCAGGACCCTCGGCTGGGCTTCACCCTACACCTGGGAGCCAGGGCTCCAGCCTGGTGACTCCTGAGTCCCCATGTGGAGCTCTTGCTGCCCAGATAGCCTCACCTTCCCTCCCTCTCCATGAAAGCAACCCACCCGGCCCCAGAGCACCTGGACATTCAGACTCAAAGGGAATCCCCTCACCAAATCCCAGCTTCCCTGGGACAAACATGCCGCAACGGCACACAATTGCACCTGCAGGTACCATGGTATGTACCAAAGGGAGAACAGGCTCACCAGAATTCTGACCAGTTCCAAGGCTGCTGTCACCATGAGCTTGATAACAGAGCAGGCAGGATGTGGATTCCCACCCCGCTCTTCCTGCACACCCAATAAAATGAGAAACACTGATCTGAAAGGGAAACTGAGCCCCAGGTGGCACCATCGCTAAGGAGCATCATTCACCCCACACCCCAGAGGGCTGGGGTCTCCCTTTCTATGCCCGCAGAAGTCCTGCGGGGCCCAAACCCAACTCACCGAACTGGCAGGGGCCATCGCGTGCCTTGTGCAGGTGGCCCGGGTGCACGCGGGGCGCGTGCCAGGCGTGCAGACGCAGCGCGCAGACGCTGGGGTAGGTTCGGCCGTCAGAGCCACAGACAGCGCCGCGCTGCGCGCACACGCAGAGCCCGGTGCCCTCGGGCGCCGCCCCCTCGGCCCGGCTGGCGCACACCAGTCCCGGGCCGCAGCGCGCGCCGGCCGGACCCCCGCAGTTCGCGCCCTCGGAGCCCAGGCAACGCGTGCAGCAGCCGCACTCGTCGTGCGCCGCGATCCCGGGTGCGGGGCAGCGCACGGGCGCAGGGCAGCGCTCGGGCAGGCACGGGCCGCACTCGGGGTGCCGGCCGCCTGCGCCGTGGAGCCCGAGCCCGGGGACCAGCGGCGGCAGCAGCAGAAGCAGCAGCGAGAGGAGCGGCGACGAGCGCGGCATGACCTGCTCCGAGATGGCCGTGGAGTCTCTGCTTCGCGCTCGGCTCCGAGAGTGCCGCGCCGCCACCGCGCCCGCCCCGCGGCCGCTGATTGGCCGGGCCTGCACCGCGGGGCGCCCGCCGGCTGCCGCCCGGCCTGGGACCTTCCCTGCGCGGTGGGCTCCCGGCCGGCCCGGGACTCCACGCTGGGAGGATGTCGCCAGACCAGCTCTCTTACATCTGATTGGGCCCTTGGGGAAACTGAGACCCAGTCCGGGCGGGGACTTGTCCGAGTTCGCTAGCGCAGTCAGGCTTGGATGTCCGGTCTTCAAAGCCAGGACTGGCTCCAAATGTTATGCCTCTTAATCATTCCAGAAGGATGCGTTATTTTATTTTGCATTGCTTTCAGAGTTTTATTTGTAAAAGATAATATATGGTTTAAAATGTCAGATTTTACAAACAGATGAATGACGCAAAGAGTGTTTCCCTTCCACTCTGTGTCCCAATCCCCCAGCCTGGCTTATAGAAGCCACTCTTGCAGTCAGGGTTTTGGGCATCTTTCAGGAATTATCTATGTCTGTAAAATCATGAATGAGTGTGTGGTCCTTTGCCCACTCTAAACACATACCCATGGAGCTACAGAGCTACACGCTACTCAGCACTTGCATTACGCATATGTGGTTTCCCAGCTTCTTATCATCCCTGAAATTAGGTCCCTGGTAGGAAATGGGAGCACAGCTTAATTGGCTGTGTGTGTTTCTCGATGCTACATCAAGTCTTGGTGTAGGTTATGGTCAACAGTGACTTTGTTGACAATAAGACAAGATGATGTATTTTGGAGTTCATGTGAAGTGACCTGGAGCATTTTAACTTTGCACGGTGTTTAGGTGCACAAAATTGGAGTTATTTAATTAACCAGTTGTGTTCCATCCTTTTGTTGCAACAAGTAATACTCTGATGAACTCCTGTGCACAAGTGGCCATATATCTGTGCCTTAGTGGACAAAGCATGTTAGAAAGATGCAGATTCTTGTGGTCAGTTAATCATGCACCCCAGCCCTACACCAAGGGAGTCCTAGTTGCTGGAATTTGATGTATGGCCAGGTGACAACTTTGGATGGGGAGAGGAACTGGCTGACTAGGTTTTATGGGAGACTTTTCCTGCCTTCTCCTCTGTTACCTGACAGGATGCTAGGAGATCTCCCCAGAGAGGAGATAGGGACCACAGCTCACCATCCCCTTCTGTGAAGTAAGTTTGTAAACTTTCATCACAGAATAGCCTTAGTCAGTGAGAGGCATAGACAGATTTATTTAGCAGAATCAAAGAAGTACATACTCAAGGGAATGGGCACTTGAAGGGTGAGCGAGGCACCTTATAGGTGTGGGGTTCAGGGTACGTATTTCTATGGTCTTGGGGGTGTCGTCAGGATGAATGACCTAGGATGTGCATTCATAGTGTGTGTCAGGCTACCCATTAGTGGGCTACTTAGAATGCAAAGTATTTGCATGGGTTTGAAGTTTAGAGCTGTGGTACCCAATTAATGGTGCTATTTCCTCTGAGGTGTAAGTCTGTGGAATTTGAATCTATAGTACATGAAGAAAAGCAGATTTACACCCCCAATTTACAGGAGAAAGGCATGGGCCCAATTTATAGACTTACTGTATCTTTTAATATTCTTAGAAATTTAGGAGTGACTGGCTTGAAAGGAATGAAACAGGGTTGGGGTGAAAAAAGGCATCGTAGCCTTGGGTAACTTTGAAGCTGCAGTTTTCTTACAAATAAAGTTTTTAAATTATAGTGTGGGACCAAAATGACTCCATTTTGGAGCCGTCTCCTTTGTTCTCTCAAATTTGTGCTTAAACTAGGAATTCACCACTTGAAATTCCTGAGTTTATTACCCAACC